TTTGTTGTTCTGATGGAACTGCGTAGTCTTATAGTTTCATCTTCTCTTGCTTGTTTTTATTAGTTTTTTAAGCCTTGTATACTTTTACTTGTTGTATTCTCCTGGTTTTTTATGTAAGATCAGCGCATTCTTGCACTGATACTGAGGAGGTGTCTGGTCATGATGATAATTCAAAAAATGGTTGTAGTTCTCTTTTTTGTTGTTTATGGGGCAGGGGTTGGTCTTTATTTCAAAAAAAAATATTTTACTCTCTTGCTTTTTTGTGGTGAAACCTTAGACAGGGTTTTGTTTTCTTTTGCTGTTCTGATGGTAGTTGACCAATTTGAAAAATTTTTATTAGTCTTTCTTTTACAAGCAAGTCAACAACACCAATTTAATAAAAATTTCCTAAATGGGGATACAAATGTGAAATTATTTATAAATAATCATAAAAATTACATCTCAGAGTTATTGTGCGTGACAAAAAAAAAGATAATAATAATAATAAAACTGCAAAAAAATGTTTTGGAGGTATGCTGTTATACGTGTATGTGATTAACTTAAATGTCATATATTTTTTTCAATTATTATTTATTTATATGTTCATGTAAAAATATATAAAAACTATTAAAACGATATTTCCTTTGTAAAATAATCTGCTGCTATGTTGTGTACTCACCATTGAATTGACATTTTTTAAGACATTGGCATCACTGTTTGGAGTTTACATAGTATTGCTGCGTTCCCGTATATTTTTTAATAATTGTAAAGATTTCAAAAAACGAATTAGGAAAAACGCTATGATATTAAAAATATACACAAAAAATATATTTTCTATTTTATAAAATATAACGATTTTTACCATCAATTTTTTTATACTAATTTAAAGTAGTCTCTCTATTGACTTAAACTATTTCCGTACGTGATTTCCAACAGCCTCATCATTTCACACAAATATAGTAATTCATCTATTAAAAAAAAAAAATAAATTTGTCACACCTTAGTCGAAAATCAAACAAGTTGGCATCACTGTTTGTATGAAATACCTGTCATCATATGGCTCATTCTCTCTTCGTCTGTCACGGCAACATCGGCACAATATCAGTTAATTTATTTTTAATGATTTGTTATTGCAAAAAAAGTCAATAAACTTTGGGGTTTTTAGATCAAAAAAAAAAAAAAAAAAACGGAAAATAGACAAAAAACAAAACATAAAACAAGTTAAATATTTTAACTACTTGTTTTTGTTGTTGTATCACAATAAATCAAGTTTAACTCTTTGCAGAGTCATTGATTCTATTCGCTCGCATGCCACTTAAAAGAGAGTGAGAGAGTGAGCTCTTTTTGCAAAAGGATTGTGGGAAGAACATGTCATTATCATCATCTTCATCGAGAGTGTATCCATATGACATTGTTTTGTTGTTAATTAATAGTAATGTTGATTTATTAACTGTCAAGTGAAGGAGGAGAAGTCGTTTTTTTGCAATTCTTTTATCTTAATTATAATTTATATCCGATGTAGAGATATGAATTTAAATGTGATCTATTTAATGGAGAAAATATGTATGTATATTTATATTTTAAAGTAATTAGGTCATGTGATATCATGTCTGTTTTTGGTATTGCAAAGCTACACACTGAGCGATTAAGTTTGGATTGAATTGGAGTTATAATTCTATGCAGGAAGGTGTAGAAAAGGTTGAATTGAAAGCAGAGTATCTATACATAACAAATATTACGATATTTCTATTGGGGAACAGATTGAAAATTTATTGAATAATAGCTATTTTCCTTACAAAACATATTTAATTTAAACAAGTAAAAATATCCCCCACAAAGTTACATCAGATCCCTCCGCCCTCATCATAAATTGATAGAAACTATTTTAATACACATTTCTTTTATTAACAATATAAACTTAGACCATTCATTACCAATAGCAACAATTACAACAAAGAATTTTCTATTGACTGGCTGGCTGACTGTGGCAAATCATATAACTAGATACCCTCACAAAATCGCATGTCATTTCGAACCCAACAGAAAAAAAATTACACAGCATATTATCAGAGGTGTTTGCTGCTACTACTGGCTGGTATGCTGTGTGCTGCTATGACGTTTTTTTTTTTTTTTGTTCTTCGCTTGGGCGATGTTCTAATTTTAGAACACTATTCTAAAAAAATAACACAGAAAAGTTTGGCAAAGCCAAAAAATATTTTTTTTCCAATTTAGTTTGAATTAATTATAATATATAACAGAAATTAGGTAGCGGGTGTTTATATATTTATAGTTGTATTTCTAACTTTATTATCAATTTACTTCTTCATTTTGTCTACATTACAATTTATGTACAAATCATATTGTTTTCTTTTCTTTATTATCGCTATTCGCCGCCACCGCCACCATTCTTCTTTGTGTCCAATGGAAGAACGTTTTGGTGATCACGTAAACTGGATGGTTGGTTGAATTTAGTGTGTCTTACCTATTAAATATATGTACATACCGTTATATGTACAATATTTCAAATTAATACCCTATTTCCGGAATATTTTTATGTATTCTTTTTTCCAAATAGGAAATAGTAGAAACAATGAAGAAAGTAAAGATCAGAATTTCTTATGTTCAATAAAAATTTTAAAATTGCTTTGTTATGTATTTATGTCATTTCACTACAATTCTAATAGATATTCCACCATAACTGACCTAATCCACTTCCCCAAATTGAAAAATTGTTATTCATAAAGTTTTACCGCCAAATCGTCTGTTCCTGTTTCATTAAATGTCCCCACTGAAAACTCCATGCTGTAGAACGGAAATGACATGCCCTTTTTTCTTGATTCCCTGATGCCAATTTTTCAATTAACCAGCAATTGTTCCCCAAGAGTTAAATTTATGTTATATTAAGAATGACTTGATTGAAAATTACATGAATTGAAAAAAAAAACAAATATTACAAACCTAGCATAATTTATTTTACAATGACATAAAGTTAACCCTATTTTTAGAGACATGCTGAGTGGAATCCCTTTTATTAGGATAATATGTGGCAGATGACAGCACAAAGTCGAACAATACAATTACAAATTATATTTTATTTACAAAAAATCCGGTCGTTAACAAATTTCGAGTTTGGTACATTTCGGTGGCAACAGTCGCGTAACCTTAACTTTCAGTAGATACTGATATGCATTTTTTTTTAAATATGTTAATGATACAACTCCATATACACATATATATTTTTAATTTTCATTATATATCTTTATTGTTTGTCAAATACTAATAGTTATTCTTCTTTCTTTTTTTGTTTACAGATATAATGGAATCCTTAGGTGCTAACTTTAGAAATTAGGAAATAAAAACTACATTTACAAAATAAAAAAAAAATCCCCCCCAAAAAAATATCTACACAGTACAAGTTGCAACATTGAAGCACATCAACAAAAAACATTTTAAGCAAATATATTTTGTAGCAAAGATAACAAAAAAAAAGGAGAAGGAATACGCAAAAATTCAAAACACAACAATTTTTGATACAGAGCCAAGTGAAACAATTGCAACAATTGAGCGAACACACAACTGAAATGGTGAAGAAGTTCAATCAAGAAGAACAAACAGATAGCACCAAAAGATACAGCAGCAGCGAACGCTCTAACATATATTTCCAAAATCAAAGTTGATGTAACATTGAAATCTTGTCTTGTCGTCTCCTTGTCAACAAAACAAAAAAGCTGCTACACCACCACATCTCCTGCAACGTTAAAAAAAGAACTCCAACCAATTTAGATAAAGATAATAATTGTTTTTATAAGCAAAAAATCACACACATACATATATATAAGTATAAGTATAGGAAAACATACAATTAGTTTGAAAAACTAAAAAAACAACACACAAGGAAAGCAAGGATACGGAATGATTCGATTACATTGAGAACTATCGTGTTTTGTGAAAAACAAGTTTTCTCTTTTTGGAGATCAAAAGCGTTTATGCATGGTGTGTGGGAGGTTAGCCAAAATAACAATTCCATTAAGCACAAACATAATAACACACACCGAAACTGTTTAAGCCAAAATCCTCCCCCACCTACAGAAGGTAAACGCATTTTCCCTTGTTTTGGGATTTAAAGAAAAAATACAAGGGAATCACAAAAGAGAATACGAAAATCCAAATTTCTACTACACACATAAAATGTCCAAATATTTTATCAGTACAACAGCAACAAATGCAACAACTGCTGCTGACAACTCCAACAATGCCACCATTATGTACTATTCGAATAACAGCAATGTGGGTCCAACAACTACAACATCAGGTGCGATACGCAAACTATTCGGCGATAATGTGGTGGCAACCGGAGTCAGCAAAGTTACGGCCGCAATCCCAAGAAGTGGCACTGCGTCAAAGCCCATTGCACGTGTTTTTGTGACACAAGCGAATGGCGGCAACACGAACACCAACAACGAGCAACAGCAACTAACAACAAGTAGTGCCACCACAATGGCTACACACTTGTTGGATCATGGTTATGGTGTCACAATGACGCCACCAAATGTTGTCTCCAACACCGTGGTGGTTGACCAACAGCAAGCCACAATATTGTCATCAACAACAACGTCGTCATCATCGACTCTTTCCTCCTCTGTGACGTCGTCCACAGCAAATCCAGCAACCATAAATAATTCTAATTCAACATCACCTGCCTCGCAACAACAGAAATACAAGACCACAGATATGAAACAATACTATAAGGTGAGCTTTTAACTCCTCCTCCTACTCCTCTCAATTGAAATTGTATCATATTTACAAGCATGCACGTTCTTTCTATTACATCTGCAGGTGAAACGGCGCATTCCCATGAATGACAGCCATCCCAAAAAACAGGCCAAACAAAGTCTGCAACACCAAACCGCCTATCAGCAGCAGCAACAGCACCCCCACCACCAACAACAGCAAACACATCATGTCACTACGGTGCGTTCGGGCAAACAACAGTTCCAACAGCAACATCAAACGCCCCAACAGCAACAAATTGCCCTAAATTTCCCCACACCCTCACCCCAACCTGCCCGACCACCTTCATCAGCTTCATCGACTTCCTCATCGTCCGCTCTGATGGCACCAAATTTCTTCTATAAACTTGGCACACCCTCGACGAATTCTCAAAACAATTCGAATTCAGCGACATCGGCAAAACGTACGCCCGAGGGCAATCGGGCCGATACTTCCTTAGGTATTCTAACCAAAAAATTTGTCGATCTTCTGCAAGAGTCACCCGACGGGGTGGTAGATCTGAACGATGCCTCAACAAAGTTGTCGGTGCAGAAACGTCGCATCTATGACATTACCAATGTCCTGGAGGGTATCGGCATCCTGGAAAAGAAATCGAAAAATAACATTCAATGGAAGTGTGGCAATTCGCTGTTGACCTCAGAACGCTCGAATGACATAAAGCTGGAGAACGAACGTCTCGAACAGAAGGAGAATGAGTTGAATATGTTGATCGATCAGATACGCAACGAGTTGCATGGCGAGATATCGCGTAACGATCAATTGGCATATGTGACGCATAGTGATTTATTGAATGTTGATCTGTTTAAAGATCAAATAATTATAGTTATTAAAGCGCCACCAGAAGCAAAACTTGTGGTAAGTATTGTAAAACTTTTAACACCAATACTCCATTTTGAGACATTCGTAAAATGGTGAACTTGAAAATATTCTGGTTATGTCCATTCTACAGATGATGAGTTTTTTTGAAAAATACATTTTTGTTAACCATTCTACGGTTGGATAAATGATTGTTATGTTTCCCATGCCGAATGTATTTTTATAAATTTGACACAAGTTTGTCTGTGCAATATTCATCAAACAACGCACCACACACGCACCATCATAGACAGTGTCTGGCTGTTCGTTGGTTGGTTTGTTTGTCTTTTGTTTTAAATAGAATAAATTTCTAAATTATATTTAGATGGCGGCAATATAGAGTAGTCGATTCTTTTAGCACTCAGCGACAGACAGACAAACGGACGGACAGAGAACCAGACAAACAAACGACCAAACATACATACATAGCTATGTAGTTAAAATCACAATTTAAGTGTGAGAAATCCTATGACTGTCGTCGTCGTCGTTGTTGTCGTTCGTCTAGCAACAAAATCCGCTACCATAAAAACATCTTTAAACTGAAACTTTACATATATCCGCAGACACTTTTGCCGAACACCATGGCTGGCCAAACGATTGAGTATTCGAAAAAAAATCGTGCCGATATTTAGCTGATATTATTTTGCTATATTGTCGCCGTTTTAGTTAATTCGGGAACATGTACAACATAGGCAGACAATGTTCAAGCGAGGCGCTTCTTATTCACACAACTTGACAACTTCTAGAAAATCTATGGGCAATTGAGTTTTCATTTTTTTCTAATTGTGGAAAAATGTTTTCTTCCTTTGCAGTTACCTGATTCTTTAAATCCACGTGAAATTCACGTTAAGGCCGAAAACAATGGTGAAATCAATGTTTTCCTTTGCCATGACACATCACCGGAAAATTCACCCAATTTCGGTCAAACTGCAGCATTGGCTCAACGTCAAACACCAGGTGGTCCAGGTGGTGACCTAGGACATCCACATGATCCAATAATTGACGATTTGACGCCCATGATGGAAGCAGAGAAAAGGCGTAGATTAGGTAAGTTAATTAAAAACCGACTATTTTTCGAATTATAACACCAAATGCTCTTTTGCACTTTAGGTTTACCCTCATCAACATATCCCACAAATGTACGTTCGGCGCAACGTAATCTTAGTAAATCCATTGAAGAAGCTGCACGACAGGACTTGTCTTTGGATGCCTACAACCACAGTCAGGATCCACAAAATCAACAGACCACCACCATTGTGACTGATGACGATTTCAATATATTTCCCACAATAACAAGACCTGTAATTACCCAAGTGGCCACCGAACACCACCAACAAAGAAGGCATGCCCAACAGCACCAAAAACTTAACACTGGCATCGAGGATGCCATGGTTTCGTCGGTGGGCATGATGGTGTGCCAAACAAATGCCCAACAGCAGCAGCGGCGCATAACTGGTGATAGTAACCCGGACAGCAGTGATTCCAATCAAACAATTACGCTTACAAATTGTCCCACGGGACAAATCTCAACAAAGAAATCAGGTTTACGTAACGATGTGAATTTTATGGATTGTGCAATTGAACATCAGGCAGGTTCACAACATGCGACATTGATGACGGGCAGTAGTACATCGTCGTCGTCGGCCAATTCTTCGTCAGTGTCATCGCCACAGCATGATAGTTATGAATCGGGAACAATAGTAACCACAGAAACAACAACGTCCGCTGGCGGTCAAACTATGCAACAGCAGCAGCAACAGCATCAGCAACAACAGCACCAACAACAACACCAACATCATCTGCAACATCAGCAGCAACATCTTTTCGTCGCTGACATTACACATTCACCACAACTATCTTCTCATATCGTTACAACAAATTCGAATTGTGGCAGCTCGACCACAACTGGCGTCCGGAACGCACTTATTTCGGATAGTGTAAATCTAAGTCCCACACCATATAACTGTAAGTATTACCAAATGTTTTCGAATACTCGACTCGAAATCGTTCATTCTCAGTGCGACATCATCATACAGTAGTAGTTCGAAAGTTCACAAACATCAAGGATAATTCGGCAAAAAGAAAAAAAACCAAATTGTTACCAAGGAATCATGCTCGGCGGGAGCTCTCTCTGTGATTTGCGTTATTTTATCACCACATATGATTATAGATAGTTAGCACACTAAATGCCGGAAACGTTAAATGTATTCTGTCTGCCTTTATCACATTTATGTTTCCTGGCTATAGCAGAAGCAGCAGCATCAAGAACAACATCTTCAATTAATCATATTTCATATTCGCATCACAGTCTGAGTTCTTGCTGAGCGTGTATGAAATTCCAAAGCATCATAAAACAAAGCAAAGAAACTATCACCGATTTGAGATTTTCAGTTCATTGCAAACAATTCATGACAAAATGGAAAAAAGTGATTCATAAAAAAAAGTGTGTTTAAAACAGTTATGTATTGACAAAAATTATATTTTTATCTCTCATCACAATCATTATTTTATTTTAAATTTCATTCATTTATTTTTTGTTGTACTTTTTTCTGATATTTTTTTTCCAAAATACTATCCAAACCCAAAACGAGATTTCAGTCCAAATTTGAATTTTATTTCCCAAACAAAAAGAGAAAACAAAATATTTATTATTTTTATGACTTTGATTTTTGCTTATTAAAGTTTATGCTTTTCTTTTTTTTAATAAATTTCGATAAAGTGCAAATAGAAGTGTTGTAAACAAAAAATAATGTGTATTAAGTATTTAAATTGAAAAAAAATGTGTTATAAATAATTATAAATTTTGTATTGTAAATGTTACGAAGGGAAATGGACTTTTGTTCTGTTTATAAAGTGTTTTGTACTTTTTGAATAATTATAATTAAAAAATTATATACTATTTATAAATTAGTATATAATTAGTATATAATTTTTTATTTTCTATAGGAGATTTTTGTAGGAATTTTCTCCTCAGTTCTATTGTTTAGGTTCGGTATTTTAATAGCTGTCAATCTGATCCATCTATTATTTATGTTCATTCTGGAATTTGACCTTATCTCTTATATATAATAATCATACATATATAACATTAAAAAAAAGTGAATATAGAATAATATCATAATTATAATACAAAACAAGAAATGTGAAAATTAAACAAATCCTCCCAAACCTATTTAAACAAATTCATTTTGGAACTGAACTCTCGTGGGTCTGCATGGCACATACCACAAACAAAAATGAGCATGACATATTTTTGTGTTGTGTATAACATTTTGTATTTGAAAATTTGTAGCACCATGAGATTCAGCTCTGGCATGAATTTCAAAGCACAATATCTCACAAAACAGCAAACAACAACAAAAATGGATATATATTTAATTACATTATCAGAGCATTAACAATAAACAACAACAATAAAAATAATTAAATAAATTATTAATTAATTAATGAGTTTTTTCTTCTTTTTTTCTTTCTTTTCTTATTAGCATTTGTAGATTTTGAAGACTTGCCGCCACTGTTGCCCATTGAACCACCATTGGATGGTTATTATAATTTCTCGCTGGGTCAAACTGAAGGTCTTATCGATTTATTTAATGATATTGTTTAATTTTAGATAGTAAAAAAACAAAACATACAAAAAAAAACTGAATACAATATTTGTACACAATTCTTTTAAAACAAAACAAACAAAAAAAATTCCCCAAAAAAACCCCCCCAAAATACCAATTCATAAATTCAAGCAACCTTTCTTGTTCTCTTTACCTATCACCAAAAACAAAACAAAAACCGTATATATGTGTATATATGATTATATACAGTAAGTAAAATTCATATTTGTGTACCCACTAAAAATCCAAAAAGCAGATTTTTTAATAAAAAAAAACTATATGAAATTTTTAAAAATCTGCTTATTGTATTGAATACTTTGTATATTCTTCATTTTTAATGTGTGTAGGAATACGAATTTTGCATACCGTATATATTTTCAAATTCAATCATTCTCTTTAGGTGTTTATAATTTGTAATTATAAAAAAAAGAAAAAAGTTTCCATTACAACAACAAAAATCATATTTTTTGTTTTTGCTCTTATTATAATATAATGGTAATTATTATTAATTACACACAACAAACACATCAACACTTAAAATTTAGCTGAAATATGTTATATATTAAAAAACAAACAACCAGAAAAGTAAGAAATCACTATAGTCTGAAAACAATTAAAAATCTAAATAAATTAAAAAAAAACAAAAGGTAAAAGAGGAAGTTTTAAAAAAACTCTGTAAAAGAAAACAAATGTGTAAATTTCTCATTATAAAAAATCAGGTTTTCAAATTTACAAAATACTTCTAAACAAAGAAACCATATTTGTAATTTTATTAAACAAAAACACAAATACAAAAAAAAAGAAAATAATCCTATATAAAATCACAAAAAGGTCCTATCAAAGAAAAAAAAAACATAAAATAAATATTTAAAAAAATCCAAATTACAGTGTAAAATAATTTTTTATAACTTAATTAGTAAAAAAAAACATTAACAACATCAGTGAGTAAAATTAGCACATGGCTTGGAAAGTCCGGCTACTGTAGAGAAACTAAATTATTTTAAATTAAATTTATTAAGAGGAAAAAAGTCAATCATTCCAGTGGCGTTATATTGCAAAAAAGATAGTCAAAATAACATGATGATTATCCAATGCCATCTGAGTTCCAAATTCTGGACTTTTCAAGCCACATGTTATGACTCACACATAAATGTTTTCAAAAAACAATGCATTATTTACTACTACCACTACACAGACTCTAGGAAATTTGAATGTTATGCAAATTTAAGGAGTAAATTAACACTAATAAAACGGCTCTTTTTTTGTTTGTAAATGAATCAAAATTAATTTATAGTTCTTTTGTTCTTTCCTTCTTTGGCTCAAAATTATTATAACTCCTATTATTATTATTATAATTATTCATTAAATATGCATTTTGTAAATTGTTTTTTAATACTATTATTCAATAATTTTTATTAGGACAACTTTGTTTTTATTCACTATAATTTTTTTTTTTTTTTGGATTTTGTATTTTCCAATTTATGGAAATGTTGATTTTACCGTTATCTCTCTTTTTTCTTCTTTTGCTGAAGTTGTAAATTTCCCCATGTATTAAAAAAAGATGATTTTGTAAAATTTTTGTTAATTTTTTTTATTTGAAGTTTAATTTTCATTTTTACAACCTTGGTTATGTTTGGTTTCTTTTCCAAAAAAGAAAAAAATAACAATTATTTTTACACTGTATTTTATAAAAATATATACATTTATTTTTAAACAAAAAGAAAGAAAAAAAAAACAAAATAAATTTAAAAAAAATATATATTTTGCGCATTTTCTTCTGTTAATGTTTATTTTAATCGCCCAACATTATATCATTATTAATAATAATTACAAAATAATTTTTATTTTATAATAATAAAAAAAAAAAACAAAATAGTTATAATAAATTTAATTACAACAACAATCAACAAATGAATAAAATGTTTTTCGAAAACCAACATCAAAACAACAACAAAAACTAAATAGAGCAGCAAAGCAAACAAACCTAAGATAGCAAACAACCACGAACCACAACAACATAAAATTAATTTAAACAAAAAAAGTAAACTTATTTTAATGCTAAACGCTTATATTTTTATACATTAAAGATAAAAAACAAATCAGAAATATTAAATATATATATAAATATATTTTGTTATTGTTAACAAATAGTAAAACAAACAAATCACAAAACCTCTTTTTTATTTTCTATATTTTTCACTTTTGTGTGGCAATTTGAGGTATCCTTCGCTCCTTGGTGGTTATTTATTGTATTTTGTTGCAATGTGAATATTTCCACTGCTAACCACTCATATATATGGGAAAATGGTTGTCGAATACATGTCATATCGGAGATTTTTTGATAACTCCTGAACGGTTTGAAACAGATTTAATTTTCTACTACAAAACCTTGAAATCATTAGCCAAACATTTCTTTTTTCAAAACTGATATTTCTAAATTTTTAAAATGCGTTAATACGCATAAGATTGCCTCTTCGAACTTAAATACTTCATTTAAAATGAAATTCAACCCATCCTGGATTTTTGATAGATTTCCGATATTTTTTTTGCATTTTCATATTGATTCTTGTTCTATTTTGATATCTGTCCAAATGTAAAGGTCAAGGATGTATATGGCCATGGATGCGAACTATATATTGATTTTGTTTTAAATGGATAGGTGTTGTGCATCCATTCTCGACATATGGGGCCAAATTGGTGTATCAGATGTATACAATTATTCGCGGATCTATTGTAAGTATTAAATATTTAATTATTATTGTTAAACTTCAGTCGTTACGCGTAGGAGTTATGTTAGAAACAAATACTCTTTTATATAGGCTCAGATCAAAGGCTTAAAAGGATGCTAAATTAGGTTAAAGGATATTTAGACATCTGGTATTTAGCAGCTGATTTGAGTACCTGAAAAAGATAAGATAGGAAAGCAGATAAAGGAGGGGAATAGAGGATGGAATTAAATATCATAGCTTAAACATGACAGATTTTTGGCAATGCAAAATATTTTTATGGAATCTATTCCGAAGAGGAATATTATTAGAGCGTCAATCTCATATATACCAAACAGTCAATGCATTATAACAGTCACAGTCAATATTATGTAGAGAAGTATTCAGACAATACTAGAATGGCTATTTATATTCACCGCTTCTTAACAGGCTTGACATCAAGAACTCAATGATGTTACAAGTGTTGTATACTTGTAATTCATTTGTATTTATCGCGACATTTTTGAAGCGATATGATATAGATTATTTCCATATTCTTACGTGATGGACGGAAGAAATAATTTAAGGAAAGTCTTCATTAATATATGTATATTCCATTCCTGCGACGAAAGCATGGATATCCTTTCTATGTTCTTTTAAATGTGGTGTATTTCAAATTTTTGCAGTACTAATCCTTGAAATATTCATCAATATATTATATCTCTCAGTTAACGTCAAGTAAATTACAATTCAAATGAATTAAAAAATTGTTTGATTTATTTTTTTATTTTACAAATATATGTTTTTTCTGTAAAAGTGCATATAAAAATGCAATTAATTGTGATGCAACTTTAGAGAAAAGAAACTATTAATTATGATGTTTCGCAAAAAGGAAAAATATGCAATGAATGAAAAAAAAAACTCCAGAAACAAATGAAATCAATGTAAATAAATTAGTAAGAAACAAATTATAATAATTATTCATAAGAAATATCTTAAAATGTGTATTTTTATTATTAGTATTTTTTCTTTTATAACAAGAAATATTTGAAATTAATTTTTAATAAATTAAAATGTTATGTTTAATGAAAAACAAGTAAATGAATATTCATATTTTGTTTTATTTATAAAAACGAAGTTCAAAGTGGGAAATAACATACTAGGTGTTTCTTTTAAATTATTAAAATTAAATAATATGACATAATTTCACGGCTAATTAGATATATGTTTACTATCAAATGAAAATCTTAGCCGAATCCATCGTCCCACCGAATAATAATACAATTGTTTTTTTTTTGCTATGTGGCATCACCAAGAGTCAAATAAATGACTAGTGCATTATCGATCTATAAATCCCTGGCGACAAAAAGTTTTTGCTGTCAACGTTGTTTACACCCATGATATTAAACGATATTAAGTAGATCAGATAGTGGATTAATCTTTCTCCTTCCTTTCGGAAGAAAGAGTTTCAATAAAAATTACAGTATTCATATATTGAAATAAGTCGAAAATCGATCTATATATCCCTATTTTATGAAGTTGGCCAGCTGATTTACATTCTCCCGTGTTTTCTTCTAAACAACTTGCTAATATCTCTGTTATGCATCGCACTCATTCGTAAACAATACCTATGCCTCACAATTATGTTTTGATCTTGGCTTTTATCAGTCATCCGCCATTCATAGCACATGGAACGTTTTTAATTAGGGTTGCTGTAATCCGGAAAGACAAAACTTTTATAAACGTATTTATAAACAAATAATAAAAACTACAATAAAATGAATATTTTACCAAAAAAGAGATGGCATGTAAGGACAAAAGATAATATAGCACGTGTGCGGCGTGACGAAGCAGCTGCCCGTGAAGAAGAACGTAAAAAACAAGAGAAACTTGAATTTGCGGTAAGTGTAATCAGTCCACCAATCATTGTGTTCAAAATTTTTTCAAATAAACATCGATCTATTTTAGGAAAGTGAAGCTCGTATCAACTTTTTGCGCACCAAATCTGGACTTCCCGAAAAACACCGTGAAGAAGTTCCAACTACAGCAGAAGATGACGAAGCCACCTCAAGTGGACAGCAGCAACATGTTAATCTCTTTGCCGACTATAAAACACATGTCAAAACCACCAACAAGGAATTGGAACGAGAAAAGAAAGAAGAACAAGAAAAATATGAGAAAAAGATTGGCTACCTAACATACTTGGGTCAGGATACCAATGAGGCATTACGTTTGAAAAGTTGGTATGAAGTTGCTCCGAAAAGAATCGATGTAGGTGACGAACGAGAAATTGTGGAAAAGGATTTGAAGACTAAACACAATCAAGATCCTTTGACGTTTATTAAAGCAGTTTTACCGCCAGAAACCAAGATAGAAATTAAAACCTCCAATAAACGTAAACGAAGTCCTACGCCAGTTCCTCCTCCGACTCCAGAGACCAAGACTGAGGAGAGTGATGTAAAACGACACAAAAAACATAAAAAAGACCGCAAGAAGCATAAAAAAGAAAAGCATAAGAAACGTGACAGGGAACACAAACAGAAGAAAAAGAAAAAATCCAAAGATCGTGATGAGGACGATGTCATACAGAAACGTTTAAAATTGGAGCAGTTACGAAAGGAACGACTACGAAGGGAAATGATCGAAAAGGCACGACAGGAGGCATTACTTGCTCCCAAGAAAGCAATACAGCCCTCGGAGCAACCGGTCACACCTCGTGTTGTACAAAAATACAATAGTCAATTTAATCCGGAATTGGCAAAACAAAATATGAATTAATGAAGAGAATTATTAAAGAAAAAAAACTATATTTTATTGTATATTTATTTTGTATAAAAAATAGTTATTCTTATCACATATTGGAATAATAATTATGTAAATTGTACATATCACTCCATGTCTTTTGCACAACGAAAACCCAGATTTCCCGCTGAACTATCGGCAGTATTTTGCGAACGTGCTGCACAGCGATAACGATAACAATAGGATTTGTGACATAGATAGGATCCGCCCTTTTTCACACGATTTGGATTTGCACTAGTATCACCCGGCGTCCATAAATCTTGTGTCCATTCCCATACATTACCGACAATATTACACAGCCCATAGACATTTTGTGGGAATTTATCAACTGGACAGGTGGTTTCGTAGCCATCTTCTTTGGTATTTCCATCCGGGAATTCACCTTGCCAAATATTTAACCTGCAATTGTTTGATAATTTTATTTTAGTTTTTGCTCACATATTTAATTGAATTAAAAAAAAAATGCGCCAAAACATTGGATTATGACTATCTGGACTATGAGTCTAATGTGGACAACCCCATATCTTTGAAAATGCTTTAAAGAAGATAGCATTGCCTTGAGATATGTCTCACAGGAATATCAATCACACGCGAATGAAATATTTTTTATAGAAGTCCAAAACTGATTTTTATAAAAGAAATTCTGCATTTAGAACACCCTATAGATTTAGGAAACTCCGACCTCAAAGATGACTATATGATGTCTTACTTTAATTAATGTAGGACTAACGTTGGATTAGGATTATACTATTATACTACGGAAAGTCTTGGCTAGGCTATCTAGCGATCAAAAGATCTCAATATAGTATGGTTTCGTTACAATACTATTAAAAATTGTTTGCAATTGAAATGAATATTTTTAGTGCTGTCGACACACCTTACTTAGTGCAGTTGAACACACCTTATATTTAAACATATATATACAAATTTATAGCTTTAATATCGAAAGACCATAAAGATTAAACTAAATAAATAAAACATGATAACATGTTATAAAGAAAAAAAAATATAGGTAATGATACTGTCTTCTATACATCCCAATAATATCAATGAATACTCTATTTAACTCACCAATGTTCCCCTTTAGGCATCAACTTATTTCCCCATGGGAATAGTTTTTTCTTTTTACCACCTCGGCAAGCAACTTCCCATTCGGCCTCAGTAGGTAATCTTTTACCAGCCCATTTACAATAGGCCACAGCATCATTCCAGGAAACGTGTGTAACAGGATGATTTTCCAGACCGTTAAGATTGGTACCCCTTCCCATAGGATGTCGCCATGTAATACCTTTCACTTTATACCACCACTGTGCCGTAGCAACACGATAGTCTTCCCATTCGATTTGTTCATCGGCACTTAATAAACTCTTGAAAATAAAACTATCGCCGAATTTCTCCGCTTCCGTAACATATTTTGTTGCCTTGACAAACTCTCGGAACTTTTGATTTGACACTTCATATTTATCCAAATAGAAATCTTTGATTTCCACTAATTTCTCGGGCGATTCATGATCCTGGAGGAAGTGTGGTTCATCGGTACCAATTAAATATTTTCCACCCGGTATTAGAGCCATATCTTCATAATTTGGTTCCGGATAATAATCTCTATAGTGTTGATTATTCGTCCTTGCCTTTTGTTGGCATACTTTGGAATCTTCACTTGATACAACGTCATTATCTACCTTAACGACGTCAAGGAAATCTTTACCGGTTTTCTCTGCAGTATCTTGTCTGTCTAACTTGTTACAGCCGCAATCTAACTGGGCAGGTACAACCAGGAGGCAAATAATAAATGCAAATGTAAGGAACATTGTTAGCTTTTGTCGACAATTTTGGCCCGATACATTTAAATTTTAGCCGGAGCACTTCGAATCTTGATGTTGGAATATCAAATATCAACAAACAAAATAGAAAGGAAAATAAATGAAAGTTTCAGTGTTTCCAAGTAGAAGGTAGAAAATAGCAAGTGAGAAAAATAGAATAAAGCGGTGGAATCAAAACAAAAATAACAAAATGCTTAGGGAATTGAGGTTCGAGTCAAGATAGGGGAAAGGTTAATAGCAATCGATTTCATTTAAAAAATTATGCAGTCCCAAAATTTAAATTAACGGAGTAAATCTATGGCATGTACTTAATGTTCATCATCTATTTCAACTGGATGTCATCTATAAAATTTATGTCCTCTGTCTGTCTTCTATTTCTATAATCTGTTATCATAGTCATCTATATTTTTAAAGCTGCAATCAATATTTATTTTTTTTAATTAAAAGAAGTTAATAAATAAGTATTTTGAAAAGTGATTCAAATCTTAGCAAGAAGGATTTCCAGGCATAATTATACCCTTCACCACACTGTGGTACAGGGTATTATGTCTTTGTGCATATGTTTGTAACAGGCAAAAGGAAACGAGATAGACACATGGTTCCTTTTGAGAATATGCATAGAATCACTTTCTAAGTCGATTTATGCATGTTCGTCCGTCCGTCTGTCTGTCTGTCCATGTATTTTTGTGAGCAAAGTACAGGTCGCATTTATGATCCGAATTGGATGAAATTTGGCACAGCTCATTTGTTTGGCCCAAGGACGAACCCTATTGAAATTGGGAAAAAATCGGTTCAGATTTAGATATAGCTCCTATATATATTTAACCGATTTATATCTTTCGATTTGCACGAAATTTGGTACAGCCTAAACATTTAGGTCTAGAATGATGTCTGCCAAGTTTCGTGAAAATCGGTCAAGATTTAGATATAGCTCCCATATATAGTTTCGTCCGATTTCATGTAAATGGTGCACCAAAGTCCCTATATATCTTTCGATTTGCACGAAATTTGGCATAACGTATTGAATTAAGCCTAAAGTGATGTCTGCCAAGTTTCGAGAATATCGGTCCAGATTTAGATATAGCTTCCATATATAGTTTTGCCCGATTTCATGTAAATTGTGCACCAAAGTCACAATATATCCTTCGATTTGCACGAAAATTGGCATAACGTACTGAATTGAGCCTAGAGTGATGTCTGCCAAGTTTCGAGAAAATGGGTCCTAATTTAGATATAGCTCCCATATATAGTTTCGTTCGATTTTATGTAAATGGTGCACCAAAATCCCTATATATCTTTCGATTTGCACGAAATTCGGCATAACGTACTGAATTGAGCCTAGAGTGATGTCTGCCTAGTTTCGAGAAAATCGGTCCTAATTTAGATATAGCTCCCATATATAGTTTCGTTCGATTTTATGTAAATGGTGCACCAAAATCCCTATATATCTTTCGATTTGCACGAAATTCGGCATAACGTACTGAATTGAGACTAGAGTCTCTAATTTAGATATAGCTCCCATATATAGTTTCGTCCGATTTTATGTAAATGGTGCACCAAAGTCCCTATATATCCTTCGATTTGCACTCAATTTGGCACAACGTACTGAATTGAGCCTAGAGTGATGTCTACCTTGTTTCGTGAAAATCGGTTCTGATTTAGATATAACTCCCATATATAGTTTCGTCCGATTTCATGTAAATGGTGCACCAAAGTCCCTATATATCCATCGATTTGCAGGAAATTTTGCATAGCGTACTGAATTGAGCTTAGAGTGATGTCTACCAAGTTTTGAGAAAATCGGTCCTGATTTAGATAAAGCTCCAATATATAGTTTCGTCCGATTTCATGTAAATGGTGCACCAAAGTCCCTATATATCCTTCGATTTGCACGAAATTTGGCATAACGTACTGAATTGAGCCTAGAGTGATATCTGCCTTGTTTCGTGAAAATCGGCCTAGATTTAGATATAGCTCCCTTTTATTATAGATTGATTTTAAGTAATTGACGCACAAAGGAACCAATAGGAACAAAACGTTCTGAAATTAGTATAACCTAACCTGTGACAAGTTTGGCCCGGTAGTACAAAATGAAAAAATTCGCTGTTGCAAACATAAATTTACTGTGAAAAAAATCATTTCCGGCCCCCCCGGGCCGCCCCCCTGCGTACGTGCCTGCATAGTGGTGAAGGGTATCATACAGTCGGCCCCGTCAGTCTTTACTACTTTCCTTACTGGTTGATAATTGCACCGAAATTACAAAAAGTATGAACAAAATGAAAACCGAGATAATGGTGGATGATGATGTGGACAATTCGCACCGAAGACATCGATACAAATGATGATTAAAAAGAGCAACATTTTCAATATAAACTATAAACTACGCATGGAAAAGGGGAGCTCAGAAAAATGACAAGAAAATGTACACATTGATATCATGGGACATTCAGCAATGTCGGCGCCTAAACGCTTATCCATAGACATATGCTAGTGAATAGATGGATAAACTGTACAAGACATGTCTATCAGGGATAAAGTAGAGCAAGGGGCACAACAGGAAGCAATTATGTTGCCACGTCTATGGGTTACAACCGTGGTACAATAATACAGGGTAAGGCAGCTTGAGTTAAATTAAAAAAAAAAAAACAACTATGTAAGTAGTGGCTTCTTCTGTCGAATATAAAACCAGTAAGAAAAGTTCAAAAGTCGGACGGGGCCGACTATATGATATCCTTCACCACATTGGGTACACACAAGAGATGCTCAAATGTACAATATGTTGTAGATAGAATATACATAGCAACTTTGGGGAACCATTGAAATGGAATCGAGCGAAATTAACTGTTTGAAGTACATAGATATTTTAACTAAATTAAAACTACGCCTACACATACCATCCTGAAATTTATGAAAAATTGAATGTCAATTATTTGTATGAAATCGAGCAAAAAACGTATGGTGTTATATATAATTGGACGGTTGCTTAACCGCATACATCAATCAAGACCTATTTCAGCACTCTGTGCAAAATTTTGTCACAATCGGATCAATATTGGGAGTTTGGTGCATTAATTACATAAACGAAACTATATATGGGTGCTATATCTTACTCTTAACCGATTTTTACAAAACTTGGTATATATCAATCCAGAA